AGCAGCCAATTATATAAACCAATTAATAACAAAATTAAAGAAACACATCAACAATGATAAAATAATAGTAGGGGACTTTAAGACGCCCCCCCCCTTACTGAAATGGACAGATCATCTAAGCAAAGATCAACAAGGAAATAAAGGCTTTAAATGACACACTGGACCAGATAGACATCACAGATATATTTAGAACATTCCATCCTAAAGCAACAGAATACACGTTCTTCTCTAGTGCACTTGGAACATTCTCCAGAATAGATCACATCCCGGGTCACAAATCAGGTCTCAATCGGTACCAAAAGACTGGGAACATTCCCTGCATATTTTCAGACCACAAAGGTCTGAAGCAAGAACTCAATCACAAGAGGAAAGTTGGGAAGAACTCAAATCCATGCAAGCTAAAGAGCATCCTACTAACGAATGAATGGGTCAACCAGGAAATTAAAGAAGAATTTAAAAAATTCATGGAAACAAATCAAAATGAAAACACAAATGTTCAAAATCTTTGGGACACCACAAAGGCGGTTCTATGAGGAAAGTATATAGTAATACAAGCCTTTCTCAAGAAACAAGGGCTCAAGTACACAACCTACCCCTATACCTAAACGAGCTGGAGAAAGAACAGCAAAGAAAGCCTTAAACCCAGCAGGAGAAGAGAAATAATAAAGATGAGAGCAGAAATCAGTGAAATAGAAACCAAAAGAACCGGAGAACAAATCAACGAAACTAGGAGCTGGTTCTTTGAAAGAATAAATAAGATGGATAAACCCCTGGCCAGACTTATCGAAAAGGAAAGAGAAAGGACCCAAATTAATAAAATCATGAGTGAAAGAGGAGAGATCACAACCGACACCAAAGAAATACAAACAATTATAAGAACACAGTATGAGCAACTATACGCCAGCAAATTTGACAATCTGGAAGAAATGGATGCATTCCCCGAGACAAATAAACTACCAAAACTGAACCAGGAAGAAATAGAAAACCTGAGCAGACCCGTAACCAGTAAGGAGATTGAAACACTCATCAAAAAAGCCTCCCAACAAATGAGAGCCCAGGGCCAGATGGCTTCCCAGGGGAATTCTACCAAACATTTAAAGAAGAATTAATACCTATTCTCCTGAAACTATTCCAAAAATAGAAATGGAAGGAAAACTTCACAACTCATCTGATGAGACCAGCATTACTTTGATCCCAAAAACCAGACAAAAAGGAGAATTACAGAACAAAATCCTTAATGAACACGGATGCAAAAACTCTCAACAAAATACTAGCCATTGGATCCAACAGTACATTAACAGGATTATTCACCACGACCAAGTGGGATTTATTCCACGGCTGCAAGGTTGGTTCAAGATCCGCAAATCAATCAATGTGATGCGATACATTAACAAAAGAGAGAACAAGAACCATATGATACTCTCAATAGATGCTAAAAAAAAAAAAGCATTTGACAAAGTACAGCATCCCTTCTTGATCAAAACTCTTCACAGTGTAGGCATAGAGGGTACACAGCTCAATATCATCAAAGGCATCTATGAAAAACCCACAGCAAGTATCACTCTCAACAGGGAAAAACTGAGAGCTTTTCCGCTAAGGTCAGGAACAGGGTAGGGATGTTCACTATCTCCACTGCTACTCAACATAGTACTAGAAGTCCTAGCCTTGGTAATCAGACAACAAAAAGAAATAAAAGGCATCCGAATCAGACAACAAAAAGAAATAAAAGGCATCCGAATTGGCAAAGAACAAGTCAGACTCTCACTCTTTGCAGATGATATGATACTTTATGTGGAACACCCAGAAGAATCCACTCCAAAACTGCCAGAACTCATACAGGAATTCAGTGAAGTGTCAGGATATAAAATCAATGCACAGAAATCAGTTGCATTTCTATACACCATCAGCAAGACAGAAGAAAGAGAAATTAAGGATTTTATCCCATTTGCAATTGCACCCAAAACCGTAAGATACCTAGGAATAAACCTAACCAAAGACGCAAAGAATTTGTACTCAGAGAACTATAACGTACTCATGAAAGAAATTGAGGAAGATGCAAAAGAATGGAAAAACGTTCCATGCCCTTGGACCGGAACAAATATTGTGAAAATGTCTATGCTACCTAAAGCAATCTACACATTTAACGTAATCCCTATCAAAATAACCATCAACTCTTTTCTAAGAAATGGAACAAATAATTCTAAAATTTATATGGAACCAGAAAAGACCCCGAATAGCCAGAGGAATATTGAAGAAGAAAACCAAAGCTGGCCGCATCACAATTCCAGACTTCAAGCTCTATTACAAAGCTGTAATCATCAAGATAGTAGGTACTGGCCCAAAAACAGACACACAGATCAATGGAACAGAATAGAGAGCCCAGAAATGGACCCTCAACCCTATGGTCAACTCATCTTTGACAAAGCAGGAAAGAATGTCTAATGGTAAAAGACAGTCTCTTTAACAAATGGTGTTGGGAAAACTGGACAGCCACATGCAGAAGAATGAAACTGGACCACTTCCTTACACCACACACAAAAACAGACTCAAAATGGATAAAGGACCTCAATGTGAGACAGGAATCCATCAATCCTTGAGGAGAACACAGGCAGCAACCTCCTCGACCTCAGCCACAACAACTTCTTCCAGGAAACTTCGCCAAAGGCAAGGGAAGCAAGGACAAAAATGAACTACTGGGACTTCATCAAGTTCAAAAGCTTTTGCACAGCAAAACAAACAATCAATAAAACCAAGACAACTGACAGAATGGGAGAAGATATTCGCACATGACACATCAGATAAAGGGCTAGTATCTAAAATCTATCAAGAACTTATCAAACTCAACACACAAGGAACAAATAATCCAATCAAGAAATGGATGGAAGACGTGAAGAGACATTTCGGTAAAGAAGACATTCAGATGGCCAACAGACACATGAAAAAGTGCTCAACATCACTCAGCATCAGGGAAATATAAATCAAAACCACAGTGAGATACCACCTCACACCAGTCAGAATGGCTAAATTAACAAGTCAGAAAACCACAGATGTTGGCGAGGATATGGGGAAAGGGGAATCGTCCTACACTGTTGGTGTGAATGCAAGCTGGTGCAACCACTCTGGAAAACATGGAGATTCCTCAATAAGTTGAAAATAGAGCTACCCTATGACCCAGCAATCGCACTACTAGGTATATACCCTAAAAATACAAATGTAGGGATCCAAAGGGGCACGTGTACCCAAATGTTTACAGCAGCTATGTCCATAATAGTCAAACCGTGGAAAGATCCTAGATGTCCATCAACAGATGAATGGATAAAGATGTGGTATGTACGTGTATACACACACACACACACACACACACACACACACAGAGGAATACTATGCAGCCATCAAAAGAAATAAATCTTGCCATTTGCAACGGCATGGATGGAACTAGAGGGTAATATGCTAAGCAAAGTAAGTCAATGAGAGAAAGACAATTATCATATGATCTTCTGATATGAGGAATTTGAGAGGCAAGGTGGGGGATCATGGGGAGTAGGGAGGGAAAAAATGAAACAAGATGGGATTGGGAGGGAGACAAACCATAAGAGACTCTCAATCTCTCAAAACCAACTGAGGGTTGCCAGGGGGGTGGGGGGGTAGGGATATGGTGGCTGGGTTATGGACATTGGGGAAGGTATGTGCTACGGTGAGTGCTGTGAAATGTGTAAGTCTGATGATTCACAGTCCTGTACCCCTGGGGCAAATAATACATTATATGTTAATTAAAAAAAAAAGATTATGGAATTACAAAAGACATTGCCAGTTTATTACATAGTGTTTTATGAATTTATGAATTGGGGAAATCTTATTTTCATTTTTATTTTTCATAAAAAGAACCCCCTAAATATTAGTGAAATAACTGTATAGCTCTTATTCACAGAAAGTTTTCCCAGTCTGCATAATTTTTAGGAGGCTTTCAGACAGCTCTTTTTGCCATCAGACATAGCAATTCCTGCCATCAATTAAGCAATTACTAAGTGCAAGCCTTTGAAATAGACATTTTATTACTTTTTTTTTTGGTTTACAATAACCCAATGAGGTACACATTCTTTTATGCATTTCCCAGATGGAGAAACGGAGGCTTAGTGTGTTCACCTTCTTTCCCAAGATTACATAGTCAGGACCCCAAGGAGCCAAAAGAGATCTCTTAAGGTCTCAAGCATGGACTTTCCCTGCCTACCCACTAAGTGTGGCAGCAGAGCCAGCAGTCTCCCTAGTATTTCTTCTTTACTAACAGAAACCCAATTTTATTTAAGCAGCAATATAGATATTTAAAAATCTTTAATTTCACTGAAGTCCCTTTTGTAGAGTGACCCTATATAACAGGTTCTGGCCAAAGGCAGAGGTCCTGGGGAGGGAATCCCTTCCCAGAAGAAAAGTACACTTGGAGAAAACTCTCACAACCTACAGCCCTCCTGAGAACTAGGCCCAGAGAACTTAGCTTCCACCTCATGACCACAAGAATAAACTCCACACTAAGGCTGCAGAACTCAAAACAGGTCTGACTCCCTAAACTTCTTGTTGCAGGAGATAAATTCAACCCTATTTCTTCAAACACTCTAAAAGTTTCCTACTATCTATATATGAAAGCTTTCCCTAACTGATTCACCAAGTAAGAATTTCACTACCTGAAATATGATAATCCTTTTATCACAGTTCAGAACCGTATTTCCCAAATTAGAATTTTTTAAAATACTGGGAGCCTAAGCTAACCTACTGAGCTCTGCTGATAAGAATAAACCAGGAAGGGTACATAAAAAATTTTATTATCTATGGGAGGCAAGGAAAAAATGGGGTAGATGGTGACAAAGATGAGCGATTTCTCAAAAATTACCTTTTTACATTGATGTTTTTAAACCATAAATATACAGTCTATCCAAACTATGGAAATAAATCAAAGAAGGATGTATTAGCCTTATGCCTTTTCTGTCAAGAAACCAACAAAATATTACCTTTCTTGGGTCTAGGGGATAATTTGAGGTTCTTTTCTGTAATGATCTTCTTTTCAGCTGTTAATGACTGTAGGAAGATGACAATAATATAATAATAATGATAATGTAGTAATTTATGTGACAAGGGCTAAAATCAAAAATATTTTTTAAATACTCCAAGCCTTAAATAATACCCTCCTTAAAATATACCTCTTTTATTGATATTAACCAATAAGTATTCCCAAAGCACATATTCCTCATACACAAATGTATTTTTATATTTTATCAGAATCTAAACAGAGAACTAACCATTAAGAGTTTATAATAGTATTCCATTTTGTACATATCTGTAAGTATTTCAAAATCAGCATATATACAAAAATTAACCATAATATCTTGTTGGCAACAGATCCTGAGTATACAAGCATTTTATAAATATACTTCTCATCAAGAGTAGGATGCCCAAAGATTTCATTACAACGAAGTACAAAGGCTGGGCCTGGCATGAAGATGTGATTACTAACTTGCCAAAATTAGTAAAGGAATTCAAAACTGTAAGGGGACACCTGGGTGGGTGAGCGGGTTATGTGTCTGCCTTTTCGGCTCAGGTCATGATCAGGTCCTGGGATCCAGTCCCACACTGGGCTCTTTGCTCATCAGGGACCCTGCTTCTCCCTCTGCCTGTCCCTTCTCCCTCCCCCTGATTGTGCGAGCTCTCTCTCTCTCTCTTTCTCTCTCTGATTTAACAAAAACAAAAACAAAAAGACTGGACCAATTACTGTGTCCTGAAATAAGGAAGGGAATTCCAAAGAAATATAATTACTCAGGAATCTAAGTATCCATTGGCATTCAAGGAAAACCATTTTTAATTACTTTACCAGAGTCCCAGAAGTGTCCTGAAATCCTTCTCCACATCTGCGCCATGCTTCAGAGAGGGAAGCAGCTGCCCCCACTGTCCTGAGACCTGCTCTTCGGAACTTTAGTGGACTCCCTCTTGGAAAGGATGGGTATTCTATATCCCAATTTCTTTTTCTCTGTGGAGATGGTTTTTAAACAAAACAAAACAAAACAAAACAAAACAATCAAACAAACTTCATTAAAAATACATTAGTTATTAACACTATGGGAACCCAGGAATGGCAATGGTGAAGGCATAGCTTTTGAATGTCTCTGAATCCCCATGTAAAAAAAAAAGTAACAAGAAAGCATACAAACTGTACAATCAGAGAACAAATTCGAAAATACAAAGAGGTGAGGACAAATATATTCAACCCTCCAAAGGTCCTGCATATGATTCTATCTGAAAGCAAAGCTGAGAGAAGTGAAGGAACAAAGGAGGATCTTAGTACATACACATGTGGTGTTCACTATGAAGCAGGCAATCTGAGGATGAAATGGTACCTGAAACAATCCCAAGGACATCCAAAGGAGTAGGAGCAGTTTAAGACACTTAGCACTTGTCAGCCAGGACTACCTTCTTAGACCGGATGTCACACTGCAGAGAAACTGCTGGCAGGGGAATCTGCTCAGCAGCACAGGGATGGTAGAGATAAAGAAAAGGTTCAGATGGAGCGTAGGAAGGGAACTGAACCAGAAGATAACTAAATAAACAAGTGGCCATATTTTTGCAAACTACAAGAAAAGAACAGAAATTATAAAAGCTCTTTTGAATTCTGCCTTCTTCTAAAAATTCACAGAAACTATAACATAAAAATAGGCAATAGAAAGGGATCAAGGTTAAATCCAATACAAAGTTATAATTAGAAAAAACAGAATGGAGCAGAATAACATACCAACACACAAAGAAAGCAAACTAAAAACATGCTGAGAGAACAGAAAAAGTGTAACCTACTATTTCAATATAAGACAACACATTTAGATTATAAAAAGTCAGAAATGAAGTAACAAAACTTAAGCAGTAGAATAAAGTTAAAAAATCACCAGAGGGAAAGAGCCCAAATGTCTATCCACAGATGAATGGATAAAGAAGATGTGGTATATAAACATATATACACAATGTACATACAATGGAACGAATACACACACACACACACACACACACACACACACACACAATGGAATGTTACTCAGCCATCACAAAGAATGAAATCTTGCCATTTACAACATGGATGGAGCCAGAGTATGTTATGCTAAGTGAAATAAGCCACTCAGAGAAAGACAAATACCATATGATTTCACTCATATGTAGAATTAAAAAAAAAAAAAAAGATGAACATGGGGGAGGAGAAAAAGAGAGATGCAAACCATAAAACAGACTCTTCACTAAAGAGAACAAACTAAGGGTTTCTAGAGGGGAGGTAGGTGGGGGAAGGGTTAAATGGGTGATGGGGATTAAGGATACTTGTGATGAACACTGGGTATTGTACACAAGTGACAAATCACTAAATTCTACTCCTGAAACTTAATATTACACTGAATGTTAACTAGCTGGAATTTAAATAAAACTTGAAACAAAAAATAAAATATTCTTTCAACATGAAAAAGAAAAATCAGCACAGGAAAAAAAGACGGAAGGAATCCAAGAGCACATAGCTATCACAGATAATGTCTTAAGAAAGTAATAAGGAGGAACATTTAAAGTTCATTTTAAAGTATTCAAGAGAAACAGTGATCAATCAAGTCTCTCTTGTGATCCAACATACAGATAGTAGCAATCCCCGAAGAAGAAGAAAACCAAGATAATGGGACAGACAAAATATCAAAAACTTTAATTCCACAGAAACTTTCCTGAAATCTTAAAAAAAAAAAAAAAGAGAAACTACATATTGAAGCACACCACATACCTGGTAATATCAGCCCAGAAGCAAACAAAACCAAGATATATTCTTTTAAACAAACACTTTGAACATCTAGGAAAAGGAACAAATGATTTACAAGTGAATAAAAATTACCTTATCATAGAATGTTGACAGCAACTTTACATGAGAAAAAAACAGAAAAGTGTGTTAAGATACTCAAGGGAAGAAAATGAGTGAAGTTTTATCTAGCAACAGTGCTAACACTGATTTATTTCCCCAAATGTTTTTGTGTGAGTTTTCCTTTTTTCTTTTTACAAATGTCTACAAGAGACATGTATTCATTTTTTAAGATTTTAAATTTGCATTTTATTTAAGGAAAATCTTTTAAATTTGCAACACAAATCAAATTAAGGTTAACTACTATGAGTTGATCATCTGATTAACACAAAAAACCCCCAATCAATACCGCTGTGGTTTAAAAAAAAAAAAAAAATGAATTAAGATTACAATATACCATTAAAACTTCTGTACCAAGGAAGAGGGAACAAATTCATAAAAACAAATTCAGCCATAACATTGATGGCATTTTAACATGTAAGAGCCCTACGTATATTCCTCTTTATGTAGAAATTCGTCTGGTGGGGCAGAACTACAAAAGGAAGAGGCATCTATCCTCAAGATAGAGGGTATTTACCCTCCACTAGTGGCAGTTTCCCCTGGCAGCTCTGAAGAAACTCGCTTCATTAACTAGAACAGAAAATAAAGAGGAAGATAACATTTGGTCTCTTGAGCCATTTTATTTTTCTTTAACTCCAGAATACTTACTTTTTAATGCATTAAATCAGCCCAGGTCAGGTATGTAAAGAAACGGGTGACATGGGAGATGGGATAGGGAAGTATAAGATGACTGACCCTGAAATATCTTGAATCAGAGAGTAAGAAAGCACTCAAAGAATGAGAACATGTCATAAGGACACATGAGCATAGGTGAATGGCCTCTCACTGGCCAACTGTGGAACATTCCTGCATCAAATAAATAATGACAGTAAAGGATTATAACCTATTGAATAAAACAGAAATATGGGTCTACATTGATATAAACAGTGGATCTGGAAAATCATTAATGAAAGTTGAACCTATTAGGTGACAGTTTAATGATACAGGGGATATTTACATGCTCATTAAGCATCGTCCCACAAATTACTTATTAATTTCAAAGGGAAAAACAGTAACCTTAAAGTTGGGAAACCTGCAGATACCACCTTAATCAAGTAATCAGCATCAAGTGCCTCTTGATAGGAGGCACTGAGAAGAACACAAGATCCCCGTGGTATTCCTACTGGAAAGACATAACCTAAATCTAAACTGGGGAAAATATTAGACAAGACCAAAATAACTGGACTGTATACCTCAACAATGACAAGGTCAAGAAATACAAAGAAAGTCTAAAGAACCATTTCAGATTAACAGAAGATTAAAGAGGCATGGAAAGGAAAGGAAATGTATGATTCTGGATGGGATCTTGGACCAGAGAAAAAAAGTCATTATTAGGCAACTGATAAAATCTGAATATGAACTTTTGACTAGATAATAATATTATATCAGTTTTTAATTTCCTATTTTTGTAATTATACTATGCTTATGTAAGAGAATATCCTCAGTCTACAAAATAAGTATTTAGGGGTAGAGGTACAGAAAAAGTTGATACACACATGCGTAGAAAGAGAAAGAAGAAGAGAGGGGGGGATGAGGAAAAGACAGAGAGAGAGGCAAAAAATAATAAACTAGTGAAATGGAGTAAAGGGTTGTATTAGTTCCCTAGAGTTGCTGTAACAAATGACCACAAACTCAGTGCCTTAAAACAACGAAATTATTCTCATAATTCTGGGGCCAAGAAGCCCAAAATGAAGGTGTTAGAAATGAAGTCTCCGGGGAAGAATCTTTCCTGGCCTTTTTCTCCCAGCAATCCTTGCTTTCCTTGGATTGTGGCTTCATCATTTCCGTCTCTGCCTCTGTCATCTCGTGGCCGTCTTGCCTACATATCTCTCTGTGTTATCTCCTCTTCTCACAAGTCATTGGATTTAGGGCCCAACCCTAATGCCATATAGGCATTATTATTATTCATCTTAACTAGCTACATGTGCAAAGGTCTTATCTCCAAATAAAGCTACATTCTGGAGTTCCAGGTCAACAGGAGTTTATAGTGAACACTATTTAACCTATTCACAGTTCCACCATAAGAAACTTCATTACACTATTATTGCAACTTTTCTGTAAGTTTGAAATTCTGTCAAAATAAAAGTTACCCAAAAAAGAGAGAAAAAACCCAAAATACAACTACATAAGCCCAGGATGATCCCAGCAAAAAGAAGAGAAATATAGTCAATTCTCATTTTTGTAGTAGTTATCATTCGATAAAGTCACCACAATGAATTAGCAAATACTGAACCACTATTCCTAAGGGAAATACAGGGTTGATTCCTGTCAGTATACAACCTTATTTTATGTGTGCTTCTGCTTAAAAACACCTTATTTAATATATATAGTTTATTCTTTAACATTGAACTCATAGCCAACAGCACTGTAACTCATACCAGAACAAAGCTGATCGAACACAAATTTTCTCTATAAGGTGCATCACAGCTTTCTGTACTTAGGGACAACGAGATAGCACTTCAGTACTACAGGTGGGGGCCCCTTTACACAGTGAAATCACACAAAGCACAAAACTGTGAAAAACAGGGGATTAAGTAAACCAAGAAAGGACACACTTGTTTACAGCATAAGAGCTGGAATAAGCAGGCAGAACAGGCCCTTGTTCTACCTCAGCTGATTACTTAAATTTCAAGTGACTCAAATTTTTCTCTGCTCTGTACATGCCCACAAATTACTCTGAAAGCACCACAAGGATTGATTTGGGGATTACAAATAGATTTGGGCAAAGAGGAGAATTGTAAACACAGAAACTGAATAATGAAGATTGACTATACTTTGAGCAGAACTTCAAAAGGAAGCAATTGAAGTGGTTAAAACATAAAAGGTATTTCATTGCTCCACTGCATTACTATCCAGCCCCTCAGAGACCACTTTTTCTTCTTATCACTGCTCTGCGCCATTTTTCATTTCTTTAGGTACACCATGATTATGAATTTTATTTATTCATTTTGAAAATCTAATCCCTGAAAAAGGAAATGCATGCTACCATACAACTTTGGGCTGCTGCTCCCCCTGGAAAGTTTCTCAATAGTATTTGTTTGGGGTATCATTTAATAAATCCAGGGAATAAGTTAGATGTCTAACTGAATGCAAAGGGGAGTTTTCTTGAGTATCTGAATAAACCCCAATGGCTCAAGCCATATACGTGAAATATATAAATGCTTTTGCACCTAGGAATTTACCTACATTAAGAAGAGATACTGACTCATGGACCCTCAAGTCTGAGGAACTTGATTGTTCCTCAAATTGAAAGTTTCAATCAAGCTGGTCAGTAAGGAAGCACTGTGATGCTCAGAGCTCATTCTATCAAATATTTGTCCCTTTGTTTCTTCAGAGGTCCTTCCTTCCCTCAGGTTACAGAACATTTCTCAGGCCTGTCACTCACTGCTTTGGTTACATTTGGTCCTTTGCTTCTCCAGATTTCATCCATACCCAGATTCTTTAGGGACTGGAACCCTCTAATCAATATAAATGACAGAAATATGATGTTCT